CATAATAACTTCATATTAGTTCAAAGCATGCTCTGATAATACCATGTACCATATTTGCTCCATTATTTTCACCTCTGTCCTACACAGGCAAAATGCATGTGCCACTAATAGAGCAAATACAGTACATGCAATGAGGTAATCACAGAAAATAAACAAATAAACCCATCAATACCTTCATATCAGCCTGGAATTTTGCTAATGAAAACAGCTTTCGCGATAAACTATTGGATAGTTGTGTAGCTAAAAAAAAACAAAAGTATGACAATACATATATTCTTTACATGGGCAAGGTGATATGATGACATCATGCATACATGTATACTGTGAAATACTTTATTTTAGCTGCAATTAATTTTCGCTGAAAAGATTTTTTGAGTGTTTTGTATGGAATTTATTTTCACTGATTTTTGACGAGTTAAATGTGAAATATAGTAAAAAAAAGAATATTCGTTTGATTTTATTTTCACTGAATCACACCTTCATACCTCTAGTGAAAATAGCAAAAATTAACTCCAAGCAAAAATAAAGTATTTTACAGTGTATAACGACAAAAGAAAATTGTTTTTGGATTCATCTCACGAATGATGACCAGTCAACACTAACAAATTCCATTTTAGAGCAGGGCATTGGAATTTTCAAAACAGATAACTGATATGCTGAAGTTTAATATTAAAAATAAAATTGATCTGTCACTCAAAGGTTTTTGCCCAAAAAAAATGGCATTTCATTTGGGAGTAGGGAAAGGTATAACACTATTATATATTAGTAATATGCACAGATTTCCACTGAAACCTTATCTGCGAATTATCATAAATTGAATGTCAGTCAATTTAACATTTTGAATCCAATCGGAAACAGATATTAAATAAAACTGAAGATATCATTACAAAATTAATAAATCTGAGAGAGGTTCACATGTAGTATTTATACATGTAATATCAAAGCAATTGGACTTGCGGTTTTCAACAAGAAGTAAAAAATATCACTTTTTACCAAAAATGACAAAAATATTCAACAAAATTAGAGAATTCAAGATATCATCACAAAATGAACAAATCTAAGATATGTAATATAAAAGATAATATGTACCCAAGGTACATATACAACAATATTAAAGCAATAAGAAACTGAAAAAGTAAAAAGTTGACACGAATGACAGACGTCAGTGGACAATCACTCATATGATAAGCTCCGCTCGACGAAGTCGACAGCAGAGCTAATTAACAAACGAATCATACCATAATTGAACTTGGCTAAGATTGCATACCTATTAATATGATAACCAAGTTTGAAGATGATTGGATAAGGATTGTTTAAGTTATGATAACTACAAGTTTACAACAGAGACGATGACAATAAATTGGCATTTTTCACTCATATACCTCTATCCCTTCATTAACATTATGGGCAAGCTAAAAATAGGTGAAAATTCACCAAGCTGATAACCTTATAAATTATTTATTTATTATAAGAGTATCACTGCGATAAGTTTGAAAAATCACAAATTATTCACCTTTGAATTCTTTTCACCAGTCCCACATCAAAAGCAGTGGGACGATGGGTCAAAGGTCAATATTCTACAAAGCATAGTGTATTTGGCATAAATCCAAGAGTTGAAGAGTGTGGGTGACTGGCTGTATATAGAATACTCCCTAGGCTGATAATGATTTGAAAAGCATTACACCTAGCTTGCATCCAGCCATTATAGGTACCAATAAAAAACAAATACATATTGTGAATTTTCACTTTCCTAGGGAGTTCAGTACAAGATTTTTATCAGAAACTTCCGCCATATGTATACAGCTATGGCTGCATCTAAAAAGTCTTTCCTGAACGAAATTGGTGAGGATTTCCTCAGCTGTTCCATCTGTTTGGAGTTCTTCAAGAATCCTAAAGTCCTACCATGTCTTCATACATTCTGTGAGCAATGCCTGGTGACTTTTAAAGCCAAATCTGAAGGTGTTTTGAAGTGTGCAACATGCAGAATTCAGTGTGACACACCTATTCAGGAACTAAAATCCAACTTCTTTTTAACAAGCCTACTTGACACGTTCCAGAGACGGAGGCAGCTGAGTACTGACCATCCACCAATGTGTGAGATATGCAAGGAGAAGACAGCAACTCACAGGTGTGTAGACTGCCCCCAGTTTAGCTGTGATGTCTGTGTTAAAATGCATGAACACATTCCACCTCTCCAAGGTCACCAAGTACTAAATATTGACAAGTACAGAAGGATAGAATCTAAGGGTCATCTCACATTGCAGTCAAAAGTATTCTGCAGTGATCATGAAGACAGCCACTTAGAATTCTATTGTGACACATGTCAGGTGCCTGTATGCTTGAAATGCACCATAGTTAACCATAGAGGACCTGACCATGTCCATAGAGATTTGCAGGGGGTGGCAGAAGAATATAAAACACAAGTGAGGGAAATGTTAGAAAAGTTAAAAGTGAAAGAGAAGCAAGTGGATGAAGGAAAAGCTGCTGCTGAATCTGCAAGAGAAGAAATCAGAAACCAGTGTGAAGCAGAGAAAAAGAAAGTTAGAAGAAGAGCAAATGAATTGATAGAGAGAGTAAAGAGAGAAGAGAAGATGCTGATAGATGCCTTGGATGAACGTGCCAAGAGTGGATTAAAAGAAGCAGCAATAAACATCGATGAAATGGAGTTTCACCATGGCAACATAGTCAGTACACATCATTACCTACAAACACTGGTGCATCATGGGAACGCTGTTCATCTGCTGTCTACCAGAACTGAAACTAATAAGCAAATTATGCAAATTGTTGCCATGGAAACAAAACCACCAATCAGTCATGATATGAATGAGTTCCAGCCCAGGAATGACCTTGGTGCAGAATCATTACTAGGAGTGGTCAAATCCGATGCCTGTCCATTCAAATGTACAGTTGAAAACATCCCAAAACAACTCCAGAAAGGTGAATCTGTCAACTTGATCATCACAACCAGAGACTCCAGAGGAAAACAGACCATTCCCTGTCAAGATGTCCAGGTGAAGATAAGGAGACCTGATGCATCATGGGAAAATATTGATGTTAAAGAAGATAGCAATGGGACACATCATGTGATGATAACAGGAAATATGGAAGGAAAACAGCAAGTTGCCATGACGATTGGTAACCAACAAATACCAGGATCACCATACCATATTCCTGTTATAAAAGGATTGGTACAGACAGTGGGAAAAGGACAGCTCAAGGGTCCACATGGACTCGCAATAAATAAACATGGTGACTTTGTAACAGCTGATAGGAGTAACCGAAGAGTTGTCATACATGACAGAGACGGAAATTTCAAACAATCATTTGAATTTACTGATCAGTTTGCAAAGCCATTCACACCATGTGATGTAGCAATATCAGATGATAATGAATACTTTATAACAGATGACAATAAAAAACAAATAGTTGTCAGTGATGAAAATGGAAGGATAATTACAAAGTTTGGAAGCTCTGAAATTGATGATCCACTTGGAATTGCAATAAATCCTATTACTAACAATGTGTATGTGAGTGAGTATAGTGAAGGGTACATTAGGAAATATACACAGGGTGGGAGATACATCAACTCACTTGGAATACAGGGGAATAAACAGGGAGAGTTGAATAGACCTTGTATATTAGCTATTAACAGTAAAGGGATGGTGTATGTCGCTGATCGTAACAATCAACGTATTCAGGTATTTAATTCTGACGACCAGTTTATGTTTGAATTCTCTACCACTGGTGACAACGATACAATGGAGTATCCTGTGGGAGTAGCTATAGATAAGAATAATTATGTATATGTGAGTAGTCGGCATAAAGTCACTAAGTATGACAGCTATGGTCAGTTTATTTGTAGGATTGATTGTGATAACGATGGACTGAGTCGTCCACAGGGTGTAGCAGTGTGTAATGATGGTAAAATAGCTGTAGTGGATTTTGACAATAAGTGCATCAAAGTCTTTGTAGAGTAAAGCTAATTTCAGCAAATTGGAATATACACCCACAAAACATATTTTTCCATGTGAAGAGTGGATAAAATTAAGGGCAGGTAACTTAGACTCTAACCATACACTGTGATGGGAAACACCAATCACACTGAACTTGTATGTGATATCATCTTTCATACAGTACTGTACAATACTATATTGTCACATGGTTGCAAAAATAACCAATGAAAATGGTTTGCATGTAAGAAATCAATGAAAATACATTATATATCTCGACTTGTATTGTATGTTTGCAGCAGAAATTAATTTCAGCTACAAAACAAGTAGAATCTGGAAATACCGGTAATAAATAAGTACAGAGAGTAGAGATCAGGATAAAGATAGAAATCATCTCACAATGCAGTCAAAAGTATTCTGCAGTGATAATAAAAACAGCCACTTAGAGTTCTACTGTGACACATATGCCAGATGTCTGTATGCTTGAAATGAACCATAGTTAACCATAGAGGATCTGGACATGTCCATAGAGACTTGCAGGTGGTGGCAGAGAAGTATAGGTTCAAAAAATCGTGTTTTAGAGAAATGGGCATTCATACGACACCCACAACAGAAAAGTGTACAAATGACAATTTTAGCTCACAAAATGACAGATTGAGGGATTAATACATTTTTTGGGGGAAAATAAAATTACTGATGCTTGTGGCGGCATTGATTTCAACAACACTTTTACAATGAAGAAACAAAAATGATCTCAAAACATATGCACATTTTATTACAATATTAATTACGTACCACCTGAATTATGAGGTTGAAATTATTAGAGTCTGTTGGAACACTATCAAAGTCAAAATCGATCAGTGTGTTTGATCATACACAAACTATTGATGCAATACATTTTCTGCCATGGTGTTTTCTTGTATGATTTAACGTGCAGCAACGTCCTTTGACCTGGCATTATGGTAATGCAATGCAGAAGTGAATGCAATGATCTGTTGGAATTTAATTTCAGCTAAAAAACAGCATGATTTTTTTTTCTATAAACTGGTAATTAGGAATTTTTGAAAGGAAAATTAAATATGGAATGAAGCATTTACCACCTTTCACTTTATTTAACAGCGTCAAAGCGTAGTTTACGCACAGTAACTGTGGTCTACACATTCAAATCATATTCCCGGTGGTCAATATCCACGCTGTATTATATAAATTGATCACCGGTAAACGAAAATGATTCAAGACCAAGATTTATGAGTAGACAGTCGAATTTGGGGGCATTTTGAAGGGGGATGTCCTAAAAATGGGGTATTGGTGCTGAGTCGGACAAGTACGGTATAAGTAGTCTAATTGAAAATTAATAGCACTACGTATTTTCTGTGAGTTATCAAGTTTAAGAAATATATAATGTTTAAACATAGAACAGCATTTATTAAAACAAAATGCCAGCTAGTCAAACATTTCAAATCTGATCTGAAAACGTAATCACATGCATCAAGGTCCTATAATGTTCAATATATTACCAAGTTTGAAAAAAATCTGTCTAGTCATGACTTGGTTTCGAAGTTGATGGAATGTTTGATTTTGATGAATTTTTAACATTAAAATAGCTGCCATTCGTCCATCTTGAATTCAATTGTCAAATGTGAATATGTGTGACATGATGTATATTAAAAGTTTGAACATGATCGACAAGGCATGTCAGAGACAAAGGTCTACAACCACGTTCATTAAAACAAAATGGCCACCAGTTGGCCAGTTTTAACCTTATATCTGAAAAACAATATGATGTGCATCAAGGTCCTATAATGTCCAATGTATTTACTGAGTTTGAAAAAAGTCCATCCATACACGATTGAGATCTAGCTCTTAAATGGCAATAATGCTTGATTTTGGATTGTGATACATGCTTATGTATCCCAAGATGCATCTCAACAAACACGGGTCAATCCATAAATCTTATTTTCAGGACTTTCAGAAAACTCTTTTCAACCAAGCATGTGACCAATATGCAAATTTTAAAACTAAAACTTGAGATAAGTGCAATGCACGTGGCTCCATGGAAAGTTGAGTAAAATTTGCTATATTGGTTGTACAACCCGTCTTAGAATAGCTGATGGCATGTCAGGAAGGTGGAATTGATATTTATTACAAAGATGCCAAATGGTCGAACGAGAGCAGAAAGGAAAAAACTGGTAGAAAGTCAAGCTGTATCTTCGAAGGCGACGCCATTGGAAACTCGAGGTAAAATTACACACTTCATGAATAAAGACAATACAGTAATGGCAGGTGACGGCCGCGAAGCTGACTTCAAGGAGTTTATGATAAATACAATAACACGCATTGATCAAAATATGGAGAAGTTAGTATCAGAAAATATAACTATTAACAGCAGAGTGGATGCAGTTGAGAGTGATTTAACGAAGAACAAGGAGAATTTTGAGGAGTATCAACATGAATTTGCGTTGTCGTTTGAGAATGTGAATAGGAGGGTCAATGAACTTATGACACGTGTTACTGAACTGGAGAATGAAAATCAAGTTTTGAAAAAACAGCTACGTGAATCAAAGTGAAAAACAAAAGAATCAAGAAAGGTATTCACATGAATATAACTTGTGGTTCCACGGTATACAGGAAGGTGACAACGAGAAGTGTGTTTAAGTTATTGAGAAAATACTAGTGGATAAATTTGGTATGCGAGCAGGTTTAGTGGAAAATGCCCACCAGGTAAATATTGGTGAAGCAGCCAAAACAAAGAACCGGCCCTACCCAAGACAAGTATTGGTGAAGTTCTTCAGTCGTCTAAAGAAAGAA